GCCTTCCCTTTCGAATCTTTTTTACAAACCCTTCGCGGTACCATCAAGGGTCCCAGTAATGTAGCCGCACAGGTGTACAAACGTTATTCTGAGAGACGTTTGCCTGAGTTGCCAATTAGCTCACTGCTGTTGGACGACGATGAGGGGGTACCACGGTCGTTTCAGTTGCCGCGCAGGTCGACCGCTATTCTTCACAATGGCTACGTACTGTCCACTGAGGCGCCTGATAACGTCGTGCTTATTGGTGAGCGACCGTGCGTACTGACATCTGTGTCGGTTTCCGAACTAACATACCGCCCCTTCGAGGACTGCGTCGACCTTTTTACCACTTCTGTTTCTTCTTCCCGTTTGTTTATTTTCAAAGCCTCCCGTTTTTCCAGTAGCACCAACACTGCCTCCCTTACTGATATTACTTGTAAATATGTTTCTTTCAATGTTGACGATATGTTTTACTTAATCCCCCTGTTGCACACCTTCCATCTACAATGACTTAATTTCCACGTCCATCCCCCATCAACCAAACCTCTCTGCAGATGTATTCAGTTGTCCAGTTTGTGTGCGATGACTCATTGGCCGTTGTTGCCAACTCGTGGTTGCTTGAGGATAACTTACTTGCCTGGCCAAAGGACCGGGAATTGCAGCGTCTATTGGAGGCCAATCGACGACCAACGGACGGCGAAAGCTCTATGAAGTTAAAGTACTCAAGGACGGCCTCGATCTCGATAAGGCGCGCCGGATAGCCCAAAAGGCCGAAGATACGGATCACCTGTCATCGTCAGAGCCGGAAAGATAAGGAAGAGGCATGCGGACAAAGTACGTTGCCAAAACATTACTTATTTTTTCATAGATTTCCCCGAAGACTAACTTCCGATTCGGAAGAGGACGACGAAATACAGGAGATACGGAAGCACACAGAGCGACGGCTAGGCCCGTGGCCCGCACCTCCGGCTCTACTCCGGTAGGTCTCATTGGCTTATCCGAACTTCAGGCCCACAAACGATAATGTTCCGGCTACCTCCTATTCTCAACGAAGAGAAGGAGAAAGAACAAGTTATTAGTAATCATGCCTTATCACATTGTCGCTTTAGGTTGCCGGACGGGGAGAACTTGGCGCCTGAAATACGAAACTTGCTGAAAGAAATGAAGCAAGAGTTGGCATGTCTAAGGTAAACCGATTAAAACCCTTTAATATCATATAGGAAAAAATTGGACTTCCTTTCAGAGGAAATGGTCTGGGTGAAGACCCATATACAAGATATCGAAGCCAAGCAAGCCGACAATCGTCGAGCGTTGCAAGCAGTAAGCTTTGTTTCCAAAGTGAAGCCTCCCATTCTACAACTGCCTTTGCGGACTGCAGAGGCGTATAAAGACTTTCTTACGAAAATTGGCTCGGACAATAAGCTAGCGCAGGAAACGGTATGTAAACAAGCTTGGACACTCATTACTGCTTATAGGTAAAGCATTTGTCCACCGTTGGGGGACGGACTGAAAAGGAGTTCGTACGTAATCTCCTGACAGCCCTTCTTGGACCTCCCCTCTGCCAAACTTTCTGTTGGGCTGGCTCCAACGACAAGAAGTCTTTCGTAGGGAGCCCTCTATTCAGTGTCCTAAGTGGTCTGTTTATTATGTTTTTTTTTAACACCTGCAGATGCAATACGCTGTAATGAGCAGTACCGTAGCTGCCATTCCGAAGTAATTCGGCAAACAGCTACTGAATGGTTCCATGGAACACGAGACAGATACGGAGGGCGAGCCAAAAGGCGTCGAGTAGCTGATATGGTACTTACTTTTCCAACAAGTTTTTACAACACATTGATTTAGGGTTCCCTAGAACATTCAACAAGCAGCTATGAACTTTCGCAAACAATATCGGAGGACACAGTGAGTAACTTCATATTTGCTATGTAGCCGGCTAAGCTATGACTTTCAGTATAATTTTTTTATCTCTATTTAATATTAGTATTATTTAAAATTAATTATTCAACCAGTCTGCATAATTTTCTTATGCTCAGTAAATTTAATTTTTAATTTTTGCATTAAGACATACATCTAATTAGCGGATACCTCTTTATGATTTACTTTCAAATTAATTAATACTGATTTCAATTTTTTTTATTATTTTGTATCGTTATTTTGACAGCTATACTTGATAAAAACATTTACAGGGGACATAAATGACTTATTAACCAAAAAAGATGGCTATTTATTCCTTTAGTTCCCTCTAAATGTTTTTATAAAGTATTTCTGACATTTTCAGGCATTTTTTTCACTCCATAAGTTATTTAACTGAAATTTTTATTTAAATTGCCCTAAGTAAATTTAAAGTTACTTAGGGCAACTTAAATGTTACACCACGCATGCCGTTTAGTAAAACAAAATTATTACTTAATTTACTATTATGAAGAATTGTTTACTTATTAATGTTTTTTTAGGAGCCTGCCGTGGATGAAAACTTCCGGCAACACAACGATGCCGTGTAATTGATTAACCAGAACAAATTCCTATCCCATATGTCCCTTGTACATATTACTCCGTTTTTTTTTTAATTTTATATGTTTAATAAACTATCATATGCCAATATTTGCTGTCCATTGTCTTTGTTTATGCAGACCTCGGGACATGTTCGAGTTTTCGGCGCAATCACTATATTTAGAGGGTGGGCAATACCTAACAAAGGTAAGGGTTATGGGTGTTCATCGATCAGAAGTCGAATAGTTAAACCGGCCGTGCGGAGAACTAGGAAAGGAATAATACTGGTAACGTAAATTGGGGGTTAATATCACGGAGAGCGTGGCGTCCTCCTGCGCGTTTTTTTTGAGGACGGGGCCAGACGGGGCTGGGTCCCGCCTAGCCCCCGGGGCCAGACGGGGCTATCGCATCCCTAGCCCCGTCGTAGCCCCGTCATAGCCCCGCTCAAACGGGGCCCAGCCCCGTCTGGCCCCGGGGGCTAGGCGGGGCCAGACGGGGCTGGTGCTAGCAGGGACAGGACTTAAAAAAGGCTTCCATTTAAAAATGAAGATCCCACTAAAACCCCTTCTTAACGATTAGACAGGTAGGACTTGTCAAAGTCTATTAGGGAAGTGCAAAGTCCCAGAGCTTCTAATTTTACTAGGAGTCTTCTATGTGGCACTTTATCAAAGGCCTTTCATAGATCAAAATAGATAACGACTACATACCTATGACCATTACAAAAGGAAGTAAATTTAAACAACTTCATATGGCAATTTCCAATATAACGATCTAGTAAAAAGCCATGCTGGGACGGGCTAATAATTTGATTGGCTATACAAAAATCCGTATCTTTCATGGTGTTAATTTTTTCAAAGACTTTGGCGAGAGAAGCTGCAGTGCTACGAAAACGCCGTAAGGTCTCCCGAAGATCTCAGGAGGAAATATCTTAAATGCACGTCTGATCGAGTGTAAAGTTCTGGCTACCTTCTGAACCATATTTTTACATGGCATTAGATTTGCGGTCGTTCATGCACTCAGGTCTCCGCGTCCTTCTCTATCTTAATAATTAATAATAATTATCTTCTAATTCCTTCTAGTTAACATGGTACTGATGTTTGGCATTTCGAGCGGCGTAAGGTGTAGGACCACGCATTTGGACACATAAAACTTTAAAAGCCATCTGTTTAACCCGACGCTCAGTTTACCGTTGTTCGATTGCAACTTCTTTGCGTCATCAACATAATTACCCCCAACCCACATTTTCATGCCGTCCGCAAACGTAGGAGCCTCGCATTCTAGTTCGTTGGTGGAATCGTTTACATAAATCAGAAAAAGTAATGGGTCAAAAACAGAACCCTGTGTGACACCACTTTCCACTTTTGCCCATTCCAAGGTAGCTTTACCAACAACGACTCAGCACTCTGGAGGACAGGAAACTCCAAATCGAAAATAATATCTTTCCTCGAATTCGTACATTCTAAATCTTCTGTAAAAGATGCCTGTGTGGTGCGC